TAATTTATTAATGAAATAGTCTTTACTTTAGTTTAGTTTCTTTAAAGTTTTTAGATTAAAGTAAAGCTTATTACCACTGTATTATGTTGGTATAAATAATTAAAAAACCATGAAAAATAATAACCAAAAAACTGAAATATTGAAACCCCTTATATTTAACAAAAAAATAAATTTTAAACATAAAATAATACCTTTAGATGTTATTTCTAACACTATAGGTCCTACTCGTGTTTTTCCTGCTGCGACTAAAGAATGATTTAATTCTGTGTATGCTTATAACCAAAGTTATATAAAAAATTTATCTATTGCAGATAAAACTTTAAGTCAGTTAGTTAAAAGTTATTTTAATTTTTATTTTAATAATAAAACATTAAAAAGTAGTAAAATAGCTATAAGATTTAGAAGACTATCTCTAAATAAGATATTGATAAGTAAAGCAGAATTAAAACACACAAGTTCTAAAGTAACAGTAACCTTATATACATATAATGCAGAAAAAATTTATTTAACTTTAAAATTGAAAAATTTAATAAAAGCTTATTTTACCTCTATACTTAAAAATCTTGATATAAATCCATCTTTAATAAATCTATTACATGATATAAATGTATATAAAAAAGAAGCTTCTCTTGTAGATTATTTAGAGGAGTTAAAGTCTAATTTAAAGTCAAATCTAGACTTAAAAGTAGACCCTTATATGGTATCATATTTAGATATTATAAATGAAATGATAATTTTAAGTAAAAATGATAAAATAGCTCATAAAAAATTGGACCAATTATATACAGAGTCCTTAAGAAAAAATTTTTTAAGTAAAGAAATTAAAGAGATTGCTACATGTAAACTTTTACTTAACTTAAATAAATCTAAATTTGAGGATGAGTTTATATTAAAATTAAAAGGAATAATAGGTAAACTTTACAGTAAAGAAGTAGAATTTAATATAGTAAATTTAAAAACTTTGTATTTCAATAGTGACATTTTTACAGAAGTAATATCTACAAAATTGAAAAATAGAAAAAATAATCTATTAAATGTCTTAAAATCTTCCTTATATTTAGTTAAATTACCTAGAGTTAATAAGATAAAAGAAAATAGTGTAAAAGTAGATAACTTTTGCCTAGATCACCTTAAAAATTTACATATTAATTCTAATATAAATAAATATAACACAGATAAGGATACGTTAGATCAATTATTACTAGATATATTACCTTCTTCAACGTTTATGTCAGGTGATAAAGATAAAACACCTTTAACAGCTTATAATGAAAATTATATTAACACTTATAATCCGTTAGATATTGTATTTGATTCTTTGAAAAATAAGGATATGTCGGGTGTAAGATTAGAAGCTAAAGGTAGATTAAGTAAACGTTCTACTGCCTCTAGATCTGTATTTAAGGTAAAATGAAAAGGTAGCATTAAAAATTTGGATTCTTCTTATAGAAAATTATCATCAGTAATGTTAAGAGGTCATGCTAAATCTAATGTGCAATATACTGTAGTAAATACAAAAACACGTAGTGGAGCTTTTGGTCTTAAAGGTTGAATAAGCAGTAAATAATTACTAAATAGTATTATTATCCTTTTAAATTATTCTTCATAATTCTCGCGTTGCATTTACTATATAAAAAGAAATGAAGAAATAGTCTGAACCATCTTGTGAAAGATGGAAATAAAGGATAAATAACCTTTATGATAACAAATTTTGAACAGGCTAATTGCGCCAGGAAGTACAAATTGAGTGCGCAGTTTGGCACCTCGATGTCGGCTTAACTTATCCACATGAATGCAGTAATCATGAAGGGTTCGACTGTTCGTCGATTAATAAGTTACACGAGCTGGGTTAAATACGTCGTGAGACAGTATGGTTTCTATCTTCTAGAGGAAATTAGAATAAAATAAGGATAGCCCCCTCGTACGAAAGGAGCTGGGTATATTAACCTATGGTTTACCTGTTGTTTATGTGCCCAATATTNAGTTTTCCAGCTGATAACTTATGACCTTTAAAGGGGAGTCTTGATGAAAAAAGTGTTAATATAAACTTAGATAATAATCTAATTAATATAGAAGATATTACACCAAAGGATCTTGATTTAAGCTATGTTACAAGTAAAACATGGGACGGAACTTTATCTGAAACTAGTCATATAACTACTATTGGAAATATTTTATATTCTAGTCATAGTATATGATTAATATTGACCTCGATAATTTTATTATTAGCTATGGTAGGTGCAATTGTTATAACAATAAAACAAAAAAACTAGTGCAATACTAAGATTTAATATTAAATTGTCTATAGTAATTATAGATGGGTTAGCTCAAAGGGTAGAGTTTTGTGTTATGGACATAAGGACACAAGTTCGAATCTTGTACTCACTTTCGCACTAGGTTTACTCAATGTACTTAAAGTACGTACACAATATAATTCTAATTATCTAATATATATATCTATGTATCTTAGTCAAAAGTGTAGAATAATATATAAAAATTAAATTAAACAAAAGATATTCGAATTGTTAAGAACATTTCTGGAAAATTTTACCAATAGTGGTTTAGATTATTTAGTAGCAGTAGCACCCTATTTAATTAAATTACCTGATTTATCTTTGTGTGAGTCTCTTATCTTAAGTAAGCAATCTTGAGGGCTTATTGCATGAAATAGTATAATTAAAGAAACTAGGTGTTTAGAGTATATAATGTTCCTAACGGTTATTTATATAAGAATGGTAATATAATTATACCTCTAAGTAGAATTTGTGACGTAGATGCTGTAGCTCATGGTGTTATATGTGGTAATGTTAATTTAGATGTACTTATCGCAGACTATCGTGTTATGCTTAACAGTCGATATTTTTCGGAATTAGCTATTCTTGAAGCTGACCCTGAAACGGGTAGAATTCGTATTATGTGGCATATAGCTATAAATGTGCACAATCATGGAGTAGCGGAGTAATTTAAATCTGTGGTTTTGAGGAGAGTAAGTGAAATAACTGCTGCTGGTGGTACATAAAGTATTAACATAAATATAGGTTAATATATATATATAAATTAATCCTAGAGGGATTAGCTCAATTGGTAGAGCAACCGTTTTACACACGGTAGGTTGAATGTTCGAATCATTTATCCCTTAAAAGGAGTTTATTATAAAGTTATTAATATTTAATACATTAGTCTGTCTTTTATACTTCCTTTTGTAAATTTCTTTTTTTTTATCTAGAAGAATAAATGTAAGTCTATATCAATACCTACATATGTATCAGATTCTAAATAAAATTAAAAATATGAAGCTAATTATTACCCGATTCTATTTATACTACAGAGAAAACTTAATTCATAATAGATGAGTTAATTAAAGGTCTGTAATATATATTAATCTAAATATAAAGACCGGACAATTTATAGGTTAATATATATATATTAACCCTAGAGGGATTAGCTCAATTGGTAGAGCAACCGTTTTACACATGGTAGGTTAAATGTTCAAATCACTTATCCTTTAAATAGAGTAGTATCTACAATAAATTGAACGTCTCCTTAAACCATGTATATATACGTATCTTTTTTTTTTTAGGTATTAGTTCTTCTAAATATGAATGTTATATCAATATTTAACACGAAAAATAAAAATGTATCTGATTAATACACAAATAGTGAAAAAGGAAAATTAAGTTTGTTCCAGACAAGTAAAGAAAAATAAAAAGATGACAAACCTTAACAGAAGTCAGTTTCAAGCACATCCGTTTCATTTAGTTTCTCCTTCACCTTGACCTATTTACACATGTATTGCCTTATTTAATTTAACTACCAGCGGTGTCTTAACTATGCACGGATTTAGTAACGCAGGATTCTATTTAGCTTGTTCTTTTATAGCTGTTGTTTCTTCTATGTCCTTTTGATGACGTGATGTTATAAGTGAGGGTACATATTTAGGTAATCATACATTAGCAGTACAAAAAGGGTTAAACATGGGTGTTGCTCTATTTATTGTTTCAGAAGCATTATTTTTCTTAGCTATCTTTTGAGCCTTCTTTCATAGTGCTTTATCACCTACTGTAGAATTAGGTGCTCAATGACCACCTATGGGTATAGAAGCTATAAATCCTTTTGAATTGCCTTTGCTTAATACTATTATATTATTGTCTAGTGGTGTAACAGTTACATATGCTCATCATTCTTTAATACAAGGAAACAGAAGTGGAACCTTATACGGTATAGTAGCTACAGTTTTATTAGCCTTAATCTTTACAGGTTTTCAAGGTGTAGAGTACACAGTCTCTTCATTTACTATAAGTGATGGAGCCTACGGATCATGTTTTTATTTTGGGACAGGTTTCCATGGGATACACGTAATGATAGGAACAGCTTTTATAGCTGTAGGTTTATGACGTGTATTAGCTTACCATGCTACAGATAACCATCATTTAGGTTTAGAGTCAAGTATATTGTATTGACATTTTGTAGATGTAGTATGACTTTTCTTATTCGTATCTATATACTATTGAGGGTCATAAATATAACTATATAAGTATTAGTAAACTAATAAAAGATAAATAATATTATATATCTTTAGAGACTTTGGCTTAATTGGTAAAGCATGTGCCTTTTAATCACTATTATATGGGTTCAAATCCCATAGGTCTTAAAAGAATAAGCGGCTATAAGTTAATGGTAAACCCGACGTCTTCCAAACGTTTTATGTCGATTCGACTTCGGCTAGCCGCAAAATAAACAAGGGTTAGTCACTTAATTGGTAAAGGACTTTCTTGTCACGAAAGTAGATGTCGGTTCGAATCCGGTCTGGCCCGCATATATACTGAAATATGTTTTTTATTGTTAGCATAAAAAAGTCTTTTTATTATGTTATCATAGAAAGGAAAAGTTGCCATTGGTAAGGCGAGATATTTGCTAAATATTGTGTATTAACACCTGGATGTTCAATTCATCTCTTTTCCGTTAATAAAAAGCTATACTTTTCGTTAAGGTTTTAATAAAAGAGCATAGTTTAATAGGCAAAACAAGAAGCTTCAGATTTCATGTTCTCAGTTCAAGTCTGAGTACTCTTGTAAAACATATATTAGTTTAGCATAAGGTTCTTTAACTTAATTGGTAAAGTGCGTTTTTGATAAGGATGTTATTCAAGTTCAAGTCTTGAAAGAATCATAGTATAATACTATATAAATTATATGTTGTAAACATAGTAAAAGAGAATTGGCCGAGCGGTTTAAGGCGGTAAACTTGAGATTTATTTGGTTTTTATAAATCACATCCGTTCAAATCGGATATTCTCTGTATTATTAGCAATAATACATTATTATAAACGGGTTAGAGCCAGGTTGGTTAGGCGTCTCATTTGGGTTGAGGAATTGTTATGTTCGAACCATAATAACCCGAAAATACGTAATTTAGTACTACATGTACTAAATTGGTATTAGTAATATAATTAATGGATATAGATTTAATGTTTATATACTATAAATTGTAGTATAAGCAAGTATATAAAGAAACTATTAGGAATACCTTGCTATATATTAAAGAGAGTAATATTTTAAATTGTGTAAAAATACTTAACACATGAACTCTTAGATAAATTCAGTAATAAACGAAGTGAATTGAAACATCTTAGTAGCTTTAGGAAAAGAAATCAAACGAGATTCTACAATTAGTGTGAATTAAAGTAGAAGAGCCTAGAGTATTAAAAGGAGATAAAGGATAACTAAATCTCTATTAATACTTTAAATAAGTAGAACGGGCTATAAACCTGTTTGAATGTTAAGGGGAACCTTCCTCTAAGGCTAAATATAATATATAAGCGACAGCGTATAGTTCTGTGAAGGAAAGGTTTGAATTAGTAGTTTTATAAGCAGCTCAAGCAAAGTTTAAATACATAGTGAGAGCGTACCTTTTGCATAATGGGTCAGTAAGTTAATGTTAGATGCGAGCAGCAATGCCTAGATAAACCAATTATGAAATAATGAATTAGTATCTAAAATTAGACCCGAAGCCTGGTGATCTTACCATAGTCAGGGTTATAAAAGCCCGAACGGGTTATCGTTGTATAGATATCCGATGAACTGTGGTAAGTTAGTGAAAGACAAAACTGACCAGGATAGCTGGTTTTCTGCGAAACCTATAGAAGTAGGTAATTTAAGTTACATCATAGCAGGTACAGAACTGTGATCTCAGGCAACTTTAATAGATAACATATTTATTTGTGTTATTTATTATTTTTGTACATATCGGGGGATCGTGAAGATTTTATCGGTGAGTATTCGCACTCGGAAGGGCAATGATGAATATTAAATAATCAGACATAGTACGCTAAGGTTGTATGTCTAAAGGGAAACAGCCCAGAACAAGAGTTAAGGTTCCAAAATTAATATTAAGTGAAATTAAGGAAGTTTCTATCAAATACGACTAGGAAATAGGCTTAGAAGCGGCCATTTTTTGAAGACCTCGTAACAGAGCACTGGTTCAGTAAATAGTTTACTATTTACATTGATAGTGGCACCGAAAATTTAACGGATCTAAATAATATACCGACACCTTGTCCATATTAAAACATAATATTATATAATATGGGGTAGCGGAACGTTGGGTAAATTTTAGACTATTTCTTAAAAAGATTTAGGAATAAATGACCCAAGTGACAATGCTGACATGAGTAACGAAAAGGGGGTATATCCCCCTCGCCTAAAGCTTATGGATTTTTTAAAGTAACGGCCTCTAAGTTTATAAACCTAAAGGATTAAACGATGAGAAAATCTTGTCTACAAAGTAACAACCTTTTATAAGAAAAAGAGATTAAGATGTTTCGTCTTATTATCTTTTTCTTAAGTGAAGAAGGTTCTGGAAAAACAGTAAAAACCTTAAATAGTAAATATCTTAAAAATATTTATTATTAAGGCGACATAATAACCGTACCTAGAGTCTACCCCAAGTAAGCAAGTAGAGTATACGAAGGCGTTTGAGTGAACAATCATTAAGGAACTCGGCAAACTAACTACCGTAACTTAGGGATAAGGAGAGCCATTCCTCCTGATTAATATCAGGTAAAGAATAGGAAGCATGGAATAGTGTTGTACGACTGTTTAATTAAAACAAAGCACTCTGCAGTAAGATAATAAATCAAAGTATTGAGTGTGATTTCTGCCCGATGTCGGCTGGTTAACGGATTTATTAAGTTGACTAATATAAGCTTGACTTTGAAGGAAACCCCGATCAATGGCGGCCTTATTTTGAGGGTCCTAAGGTAGCGGAATACCCTGGCCGTTAAATGCGGTCTTGCATGAATGATTTAACGATACAACAGCTGTCTCAATGATTGGCTCAGTGAAATTGGAATAACTGTGCAGATACAGTTTACCTCTAGTTAGACGAGAAGACCCTATGCAGCTTTACTGTTGCTAGTTATTGAATGTGATTTAATTAATTTTAGTAATATAAGGTAATTGGTTAGATATTATTGGAAGACCTTTATTTTATTCGTCATATTGATAGATTTATTCTATTTTCTTATCTAAAGATAGGAAATTACCCCTACTATGTTAGGGAAACAATGGCTAGGAGGCAGTTTATGCGGGGCACAGATCCCATAAAAAGTACCTGGGTGTATCCAAAGTTAATTTTGTAAAATTGACATGACTTACTTCTAAGTATACTATTTGGAAATAAGTTTTCATGACTAACAATACATTATATATTTAATGTATTTATTTTTAGTTTGTTATTTGGTGTAGCTTATGCTATAACTAATCCAGCTATTTATCTATTAAGTTAGAAATATTTTTTTATCCTAGTAAGATTTTATCTATATGGAAAATAGATGTAATTAAAACATTGAAGTAGATATCTTTCCAATGTTTTTTAATTTTTTTATTAGGTGTATTTGGTGAAACCAAACTACAAATTGCTAATATGATAATTATGTTTATTACTTGTCAAGTTTAATGGCTTAATCTTGCTTTACTGTTTGACTTACACGTCTATCAGTCGCGTAAGCGGGGCATATGATCACAAGATGCAGAAAGGAAAGGTCTTGGATTTATGAAAAAGCTACGCTAGGGATGTTAGTCCTCCAATGTTTAAGTCTACTAATATTTAATATTGGTTAATTAGACTTAAACTCATTGGCAATTTATTGGGTTAATTTCAAGAATACTTCTGAGGACTTAGTATACTTGAAGCGAACTTTACTTTAGCATAATTACCTTAAAAAGGTGTTAAAAGTAAAACCGTTCAACGACTAGAAAGTGAGTTATGCTAACAATAATCTTTCTAATAATGCCCAACTTTCTTAATATATAGTTATATAATTGCAATATTATTTTATATTGCTTAACCTTAGTTAATATTAATTTATTAATGAAATAGTCTTTACTTTAGTTTAGTTTCTTTAAAGTTTTTAGATTAAAGTAAAGCTTATTACCACTGTATTATGTTGGTATAAATAATTAAAAAACCATGAAAAAATAATAACCAAAAAACTGAAATATTGAAACCCCTTATATTTAACAAAAAATAAATTTTAAACATAAAATAATACCTTTAGATGTTATTTCTAACACTATAGGTCCTACTCGTGTTTTTCCTGCTGCGACTAAAGAATGATTTAATTCTGTGTATGCTTATAACCAAAGTTATATAAAAAATTTATCTATTGCAGATAAAACTTTAAGTCAGTTAGTTTAAAAGTTATTTTAATTTTTATTTTAATAATAAAACATTAAAAAGTAGTAAAATAGCTATAAGATTTAGAAGACTATCTCTAAATAAGATATTGATAAGTAAAGCAGAATTAAAACACACAAGTTCTAAAGTAACAGTAACCTTATATACATATAATGCAGAAAAAATTTATTTAACTTTAAAATGAAAAATTTAATAAAAGCTTATTTACCTCTATACTTAAAATCTTGATATAAATCCATCTTTAATAAATCTATTACATGATATAAATGTATATAAAAAAGAAGCTTCTCTTGTAGATTATTTAGAGGAGTTAAAGTCTAATTTAAAGTCAAATCTAGACTTAAAAGTAGACCCTTATATGGTATCATATTTAGATATTATAAATGAAATGATAATTTTAAGTAAAAATGATAAAATAGCTCATAAAAAATTGACCAATTATATACAGAGTCCTTAAGAAAAAATTTTTTAAGTAAAGAAATTAAAGAGATTGCTACATGTAAACTTTTACTTAACTTAAATAAATCTAAATTTGAGGATGAGTTTATATTAAAATTAAAAGGAATAATAGGTAAACTTTACAGTAAGAAGTAGAATTTAATATAGTAAATTTAAAAACTTTGTATTTCAATAGTGACATTTTACAGAAGTAATATCTACAAAATTGAAAAATAGAAAAAATAATCTATTAAATGTCTTAAAATCTTCCTTATATTTAGTTAAATTACCTAGAGTTAATAAGATAAAAGAAAATAGTGTAAAAGTAGATAACTTTTGCCTAGATCACCTTAAAAATTTACATATTAATTCTAATATAAATAAATATAACACAGATAAGGATACGTTAGATCAATTATTACTAGATATATTACCTTCTTCAACGTTTATGTCAGGTGATAAAGATAAAACACCTTTAACAGCTTATAATGAAAATTATATTAACACTTATAATCCGTTAGATATTGTATTTGATTCTTTGAAAAATAAGGATATGTCGGGTGTAAGATTAGAAGCTAAAGGTAGATTAAGTAAACGTTCTACTGCCTCTAGATCTGTATTTAAGGTAAAATGAAAAGGTAGCATTAAAAATTTGGATTCTTCTTATAGAAAATTATCATCAGTAATGTTAAGAGGTCATGCTAAATCTAATGTGCAATATACTGTAGTAAATACAAAAACACGTAGTGGAGCTTTTGGTCTTAAAGGTTGAATAAGCAGTAAATAATTACTAAATAGTATTATTATCCTTTTAAATTATTCTTCATAATTCTCGCGTTGCATTTACTATATAAAAAGAAATGAAGAAATAGTCTGAACCATCTTGTGAAAGATGGAAATAAAGGATAAATAACCTTTATGATAACAAATTTTGAACAGGCTAATTGCGCCAGGAAGTACAAATTGAGTGCGCAGTTTGGCACCTCGATGTCGGCTTAACTTATCCACATGAATGCAGTAATCATGAAGGGTTCGACTGTTCGTCGATTAATAAGTTACACGAGCTGGGTTAAATACGTCGTGAGACAGTATGGTTTCTATCTTCTAGAGGAAATTAGAATAAAATAAGGATAGCCCCCTCGTACGAAAGGAGCTGGGTATATTAACCTATGGTTTACCTGTTGTTTATGTGCCCAATATTAATAAAAGTATAATTAAGTTTATACAGGGATGTTACTTTCACTTAAGTAAATATATAGCATAGGCACGGCAGGAACGCTACGTTAGTTAAAGATAAGTGCTGAATGCATCTAGGCGCGAAACTTACTTTAAGATATTCTTAAATATAGGTAGTTTAACACTACGATTTCCATATTTTATTAAATATGTGATTAATAGGCTTTAGCTGAAAGAATTTAAATGTTTTTAGGCATAAAGTACTAATTTTATAAATAACTGATTATTATATATATCTTACATTATATTATCTCTATTGTTTTTTTTTTAAGATATAAAAAAAAATCCTAAAATTTTTATAAGGCCAATTAATAAGCCTGGTTAGCATAAAAGTAATGTAGCTGTTTTGTAACCAGCTGAAGCAAGTGCGATACTTGCACTGGGCTTGGTTTAACAAAAAAAAAGTTTTTTTAGTATTTCTATTAACATATATACCTTATACCGATAATAGGTAATGAGTATAAAATGTATATACTTTCGGTTTTTATGTATTAAATTGATTATTTAAGTCATAAAAGGCCTTATAGTCGAGGGGTTAAGACTTGATACTTTCACTGTCATATTCGAGGGTTCGAGTCCCTCTAAGGTCAATGAATAATATCATTTTTATTTAATATTATGCAAATGTTACAATCTTATATTATAAATGTTATAGTGCATAAGATATATATATATTAGTAGATGTATACATGGTATATATGGTTTAGACCGGTATTTAAAGGTTATAGCTTAATTGGTAAAGCAAGCTGCTCATGACGGTTTAGATGAGTGTTCAAGTCACTTTGGCCTTAATATTATATAGTCCGAGTGCTGGAATTGGTAGACAGGGTAAACTTAAGCTTTACTGATATAATATCGTGAACGTTCAAGTCGTTTTTCGGATAGTATTTAACTAAATATATTATTTGGTTTATATAATATTTATATATAATATATTTAGAGGTTTATATTTTAAACTATCTATATAGGGGACATAGTTTAATTGGTAAAACTGCGACTTTGCAAGTCGTTATCTCAGGTTCGAATCCTGATGTCTCCATAATTAAATCTAAATTTTAGCTCGAGAAGCTCAATTGGTAGGGCGAGGTCTTGAAGCGATCTAGGTTGTAAGTTCAACTCTTATCTCGAGCATATTTCCTATATAGGTGTATTTAAATTAACAAAGGTAGTGATGGAATTGGTAGACATGAATAGCTTAGGACTATTTGATTTTCTTATCTTACCCGTTCAAGTCGGGTTTACCTTATAAACTATGTATAGTATATATATTTGGAGTAAAATAAAGCATAGATATATAAGTATACTCCAAATTTATATATCTATGCTGTAGACTAATAGGCAAGTCATAGGTTTTTGATGCTTATTATTGGGTGTTCGAATCACTTCAGCATAATAAAACCTAAAAGATAAAGGTGGGTATAGTTCAATCGGTAGAACGACTGTATGTGGCACAGTATGTTCCCTGTTCAAGTCAGGGTACTGACCCTTTAAATTAAAAAAAGATAAGATATAAGTCAGCCAGGATAGTTTAATTGGTTAGAACATTAATTTCATGCATTAATAATGAGAATTCAAATTTCTCTCCCGGCTCATGTTAATTCTTTCACTTATTTCATTATTAATGTCGAATGCCGTTTCATTGAGACGAGACAAATCTATTCTATATAGCAGAATAACTATAATAATTTTATTATTATCTAGTTATCTTACTTTAGATAGTTTATATTTAACAAACTTAGATACGGGGATAGGTTTATACGGGGGTTTATTTAGTGCTACAAGCATAACTCATACATTTCAGTTATTTATCTTTTTAGTTAGTGCTGCTATATTACAATTAACAAGTTTTTATCCTAGAAAAGTCTTTTTTAAAACTCTTCTAAGTTATTATCTTATAATACAATTAACTTTAAATCTAAAATTTTAAATAAAATGGGAGAACAATTTAAAATAATTGAATACCCTTTAATTATATTGTTTATTATAACAGGTGCTGTTTTTTAGTTTCAACAAGTGATTTAGTGTCTATTTTTTTAAGTATAGAGTTACAAAGTTATGGGTTATATTTATTAAGTACTATATATAGAAATTCTGAACAAGCAACTAGTGGAGGTCTTACTTATTTTTTATTAGGTGGATTAGCTTCTTGTTTTATATTATTAGGTTCGGCCCTTTTATATGCTAACTCTGGTACTACTAGTCTTGATGGTATATATGTTATTGCTAGTATAAGCGATTTAGGTTGTGATATAAGCAATAATACTCAATCTTGATATAAACCTGATTATATAAATATGTCTTTACTTATATTATGTGTAGGATTTTTATTTAAAATAAGTGCTGCACCTTTTCATTTTTGATCACCTGATGTTTATGATGCTGTGCCTACTGTAGTTACTACATTTATTGCTATAATAGCAAAAATATCTATATTTATATTCTTTTTAGAATTAGTGCACTATACTAGTAATTCCTTATTTATAAATAATTTTAGCTGAACTACTAGCTTATTAGTCAGTTCTTTACTATCATTAATAATAGGTTCAGTATTAGGTTTAACACAATTTAGAATAAAAAGATTGTTTGCCTATAGTACTATAAGTCATGTAGGATTTATATTATTAGCTTTAAGTATTAACAGCATAGAGTCAATTCAAGCTTTCATTTTTTATTTAATGCAATACTCTTTAAGTAATTTAAATGCATTCATGTTGTTATTAGCAATAGGATATTCATTGTATTGCTATAGTAATGAGAATAAAAAATATAGTTTTTTATTAGATAAGAATAACTCACCTATACAATTAATTAGTCAAATGAAAGGTTTCTTTTATATAAATCCTATGTTAGCTTTAAGTTTAGCTATTACTTTATTTTCTTTTGCAGGTATACCTCCTCTTATAGGATTTTTTGCAAAACAGATGGTATTAAGCGCAGCTTTAGATAGTGGATATGTTTTCATAACACTTGTTGCAATATTAACTAGTGTAATAAGTGCAGTATATTATCTAAACATTGTAAAAGAGATTTTCTTCGATAAACCTGAATATAAAGTAAATCCTTATATTTCAGATGTTGACATGTATGCGACTATAACCAAAAAGAATGGAATAGTTCAAAAATTAAGCTTTAAATATGATAGCATAATACTATCAAGCCATTTAACTATAACAATAAGTATTTTAACTTTAATAATCTTATTATTTATTTTTATGCCTCAAGAATCATTAAGTATGTCAAATATATTAGCTTTAATATTATTTAACTCATAATGTCTAGTATTACTTTTTTTTTTGTATTTATACCATTATTAGCTATCATTTTATTAGCTGTAAATTTAATATTCGCTCCTCATAATCCTTACGATGAAAAGGATAGTGCATTTGAATGTGGTTTTCATTCTTTTTTAGGACAAAATAGAACACAATTTAGTATTTCTTTTTTTATATTTGCCCTTTTGTTTTTATTATTTGATTTAGAAATACTTTTAGTTTATCCTTATGTAGTTAGTGCATATGCTAACGGTGTATATGGTTTAACTATAATGCTTGTATTCTTTTTAGCCTTAACGCTAGGTTTTGCGTTCGAATTAGGTAAAAATGCCTTAAAAATAGAAAGTAGACAAACTTACACTTTACATAGTAATTACATTAAAATTAATAAAATAGTAGGTAAGCCTGCAAAAGTTTAAATTTGTTTTTTTTTGTATTAGATATATTCGGGTAGGGTATATTTCATCTTTTCTGTCTGCTTTATTTAATTTTGTCTAGTATATGTTATTATCTCTTTTATTAGTAATACCTTTAATAGGTATATTTATAATATCCACTTGCATGTCTTATGATACCTCTGCCTTAAATAATAAACGTATAAAAACAACAGGTTTAATAACATCCATTGTTAATTTATTATGTTCATTCTTAATATTCATACTTTTTGATTTTAGTGTTAATCAATTTCAATTTGTACAAGAGTATCATGAAGTTAGTTCATATGATTTTTATTTAGGTGTTGATGGGCTATCTATATATTTTGTGCTATTGACTACTATTATAGTACCTATAGCACTACTTTCTAACTGGAAATCTATAAAAGAAAATATAAGATCTTATGTTATTATTATATTACTATTAGAAAGCTTATTATTAGCTGTATTTTTAGTATTAGATATATTATTATTTTATGTGTTTTTTGAAAGTATATTGCCCCCTTTATTTTTATTAATTGGTTTATTTGGATCAAGTAATAAAGTAAGAGCAAGTTTTTATTTATTTTTATATACATTATTTGGGTCATTATTCTTATTATTATCGATACTTACGATGTCATCTATAATGGGAACAACAGATTTTGATGCTTTATATAAAACTAATTTTAATTACTCTACACAATTATTCTTATTTTATGGTATATTTATAGCATTTGCTATTAAAACTCCTACTATTTTTTTAAACACATGGTTATTAAAAGCTCACGTTGAATCACCTTTAGGTGGTAGTATCCTATTAGCAGGTATTGTGTTAAAATTAAGTTTATATGGTATATTTAGACTTATATTACCTTTATTACCTAAAGCTTCTTTAGATTATACATATATAGTATATCTTATAGGGTAATCACTATAATATATGCTAGTTTTAGTACGTTAAGAACAATAGATATTAAAGAACTAATTGCTTATAGTTCTGTTTCACATGCTGCAGTATATTTAATAGGTGTGTTTAGTAATACAATACAAGGTATAGAAGGAGGTATAGTTTTAGGTTTAGCTCATGGTTTTGTATCTAGTGGTTTATTTATATGTGTAGGTGGTGTATTATATGACAGATCTGGGACAAGATTGATACCATTTTATAGAGGTATAGCTCAAATTATGCCTATATTTTCTATATTATTCTTTATATTATGTTTAGCTAATTGTGGTGTTCCTCTTACTTTAAATTTTGTTGGGGAATTTATGTCTTTATATGGTGTATTTGAAAAATTACCATTATTAGGTGTAATGGCTAGTTCTTCTGTTGTCTTTTCAGCTGCTTACACTATTTTTATGTTTAATAGAATAGCTTTTGGAGGAGCCTTCTTTTTAACTTTAAAAAACCAATATAGTTTAGTAGATTTAAATGTACGAGAATTTTTCATGCTATTTAGTCTAGTTCTTCTTACAGTAGTCTTAGGTATATATCCTGCTCCAATTTTAGACGGATTACATTATTCAGTGTCAACATTAATATATAGCTTTTTTCGCCCCTAATATGTTATTTTTATTTTTTTATATATTACTTTTAATATGGATTATTACAATAATTTACATTTGCAAATCTAGTTTTTTATTAATGATACAAAGAATTCAGATGTTTTATTTTTGTAGAATCGCTATGCTACCAACTAAGACTATATACATAATAGTATGGTTAATTATAACATTAATTAACAACATATGGGGTAATTTTGATATAGTAGATTACTTAGGAATTGAAACACGTGAATTAAAACAAACATTTTTAGACTGTGTCTTTTCAGTAAGATCAACAGACAACGAATCTGTGGGTAGTAATACTGATAGTAATAGTGATACTGATAGTAGTACTGAGAATAACAGAAGAGCAGCGGAAGAGGAAAAGGAAGAGAGAGAGGAAGAGAAACAAGTCTCGGAAGACGATAGTGACTATGTGTATTCTGAATCTGATTCTGAACCTGATACTAGTACTGAGAGTGAGAAAGAAAGTACGAGAAGGGAACTAGAGAAGGAAGTCTTAGCGTGAAACGCTCAGCTTGCGTCTATTGTTCGTGAGACTTATGAGGATGAAGAAGTAGATGTTTACGATAAAGCCCTTGCTAAAAGTAAGGCTGCTCTTTGTAAGGATTATTCTGAAATATTTGATCAT